GAGAAAGTTCACCAGGAAGTGTAAGCTATTGCTAAGAAAATTAAGATAATAATTAGTGGGGCTAGGGAGATAGCTCAGAGGCTTAAGCATCTGCCTGGCAGATGCAAGGTCCTGGGTTTGATCCCTGGCAGCAACAACAACAAAAAGATAATAATTTGTGGGTAACGTAGAAAAAAAAGAATAATGATAAAGACATATTTAATGATACCTTACATGGACTAATGTAGAAGTTTTACACTTTTAGTTAATACTCCTCCACTTTTGCAAATTGAAAGGGATATTAGAAAATGGAAAAATATCCACCTACTCAGAAACAATCAATATGAGCACACTGCCAACACTGTTATGAAGATCCAAAGTAATCCCAATCAAAATACCAATAAGACTTCTCAGAGAAGTAGATAAAATAATTCTAGAACATATATAGAATCAAAAGAGAGACTAGCAAAAGCAATTCTGGGCAACAAGAACAGGGCAGGGTGCATCACAATCCCATACTTCAAGTTACATTACAAAGCTACAGTGATAAAAACAGTATGGTATTGGCAAACAGTGTGGATCAATGGAAACAGCATAGAAAATACAAAAATAACTGCAATGATATTCAACTATGTTATATTTGATCAGAGGGCTACGTACTTTCACTGGAGGAAAGTCACCCTCTTTAACAAATGGGGTGCTGTGAAAACTGGCTATCCACATGCTCAAGATTGAACCCAGACCCATGTCTCTCACCATACACTAAACTAAAACCAAAATGGATCAAAGATTAAATAGAAAAGCAGAAACATTTCATTTGTAGGAAAAAAAAAACAGGGTAAAACTCTTGAAGACAAAAGGGTAAATAAAACTTCTGAAAACAAAGGCAAAGGCAGAAAGCCAGTTGCAAAAGAACTAATACCAGAAATCAGCAAATGGAACTACATCAAATTAAAATTCTAGTGCACGGCAAAGGAAATCGCTAACAGAATGAAGAGACAACCTATAGAATGGGGGGAATTTTGCCACTTACACCTTCAGACAAAAGACTAATATCCAAAATACATATAAGAAACTCAAAAAATTAGACCCTCCAAGCTTAAAGACCCAATCAAAAAATGGACAGCTGACATGAATAACTATTTCTCAAGTGAAGAAATATAAATAGCCAATAAGTGCATTTTTAAAATGGTCTATATCCCTGGCTATTCAAGAAATGCA